TTTTTCCGATATATAAGGAAGTATCTGCAAAATGTCACATTCAGCTTCTAATTTATGGGTTTTTTTGTTTGTTTTTTCGTTAGATCTTTATATTTTCAAAATTGTGTTTTGGATTAAAATATTTTCCTCTTTTTTATTTTCTTTGTTAAAAACAAAGGGAAGGAAATGCTTGTTTTCTTTTGAGAAAATGGAATACGAATTAACGAAGTTGCTACAGTCCACTCAGCAGAGTATAACTTTATATATCTATAGCCTAGTAAATAACAATTTTGGTTTCTTGGAATAACGTTAGAATATGAGAAAAGAAATAGAAATCAAGAGCATGGTTAGAGCCAGAACAAAACAAAAGTCAGAAGGCAAAGTGCTAGACTGAGATGGGGCCTCTTCCATGCACTTAAGCAGACAGATGTAGCAGAACCATATTTAGAAATGAGAGGAAAATATCATCTCTCACTTATCCCTTCATAGAGTTCATAATCTAGGATGAGATGACAAATACGTTCTCTATGTGTAAGCTCCATCTGATTGATGGTAGCTACCTAAAATGTTGTGCTGAAAGGGATGCTAAGGCTCTTTTTGGACTCAGAAAGTATTATGAAGATTCTTATTGTCTAACCTGGTTTTAAAATAGGGAATAGAACATATCTGCGATGCATTTGCTATCTCTTGACCAGGCAGACAGAGGAAATGGGACTAACAATCACCAGCACTTGATTTTCATCAGGTGCTTCAGCCACAATTGCTTAAATCCTCATAAATCCAATGAGGTAAAAGTTATCATCTACATTTTACAGATGAGGAAAATCCTTCTCTGAGAAAATAACTGGTTGCGATTTGGAGAAAGAGAAAAACAATGATTTTGCAATGGAGGGAAGGGAAGGCAGTGAGTATATCGATGACTATTCATACATAAGGAAAGTGTGAGTCAGCTACTGCCATTCAGGAAGAGCCAATGTACACTGATGTCTTCCTATCCCAGTTTTCAACGTTTCTTATATTTCACAAATATTTTGCAGTCTAAATTGTCTCATTCTTCAAGATTTGCCATTATACTAATTATAACCTCTTTATAAATGATAAATAACGTTTCCCTTTGAAAATTATCTTAGAGTTTGAAAAGGGCTTTATTCAAACTCTGATTAGTACTCTTAGACCACAAAGAGATTTTAAAACAATGAAAAAGAAACCATGCTAGCCCAAGAGTATAGACCTCATTAACAGTCTCGGCCTTATCAATAAGTTACCTCTATCTTGGATTAGTCACTCTCCCCATCTAGGCCTTAGTTTTCCCCATAGCGGATTGTGCCATACCCTATAAGGTCTATGCAGACTCCCAAATGCTGTGATCTCTACAAGTTCAAAATGCAATTCTTACTAGAAACAATTAGAGTGGTTTTACAATGAATAATAATGCTGATTGGAAACAATAAT